TGACTGAGCCACATCTGTCTTGATTCTTTCCATACACTTTCATTATTGGTCTCACATACAAATATTGCTCTTGTCTGCTTTTGTCTGATTCGCCTCCAGAAAGACAAGATTAGGGTGCCATGGGACAGCACTCTAATCATCCATAGTTCTCTCTTTGTTATTTAGAGATTTGGTAAGATATTTTCCAGACATAGATTATGGTTGTTCCCTCTGTGCTGGGAAACATAGAGTTGCCTTTTTAAAAATTTCTTACAGATATGTGTTCTGTTTATGTAAAACATGTAAACATTTTCTTTCTTTGCTTCTTATTCCACAGAGAAGAGCCAGGCATAGGAGTTACAATTTTGTCTTTAGTCCTCAAAATTTACCCCTTAAATATTTGGCTATTAGCTCCTTGTCAGATATATAGTTTGAAAATATTATTTGGCATTCTGTAGGCTATCTCTTCACTTTGTTGATTGTTTCCTTTGCTATGAGAAAGCTTTTAAGTTTGACATAGTCCCATTTTGTCTTTTTTTGCTTTTGAGGTCTTGTTCAAAAGCTCCTTGCCCATTTTAAAGTCCTGAAGCATTTATCCTATGTTTTATTCTAGTAGTTTGATAGTTTTAGGTTATACATTTAAATCTTTAATTCATTTTTAGTTGATTTTTGTAACTGATGAGATAGAAAGGGGCCTTTTTTCATCCTTCTATGTGTGGATATTTAATACTCTCAGCACCATTTATTGAAATAGACATTTCACAAAGAAAACATACAAATGGACAACAGGTACATGAAAAATATTCAACATCACTAGTCATCAGATAAATGCAAAATGCAAATCAAAACCACAGTGAGGTATCATCTCATTCCAGCAAGAATGGCTACTATTAAAAAGACAAAAAATAAGTGCTGGTGAGAAGGTGGAGAAAAGGGAAATACTCCCACACTGTGGGTGAGAGTGTAAATTAGTACAGCTATTATGGAAAAGAACATGAAGATTACTCAAAAAATTAAAAACTATCATATGACTTAGCAACCTTACTACAAGAGACAGAGGGAGAAGGAAGCTACAGGAGACAGAGGGGCAAGGAAGGTAGACAGACTATATAAAAAGAAAATGAAATCAGTATGGTGAATATATTGTAAATTTTTTCTCTGTTTGTTGAGGTGTTATCTTCTATAACCCAAGAGACCTGATAGCTGTCTCTTTGGGAGGCCCTTAAGAACGATAGGGCCCATATCTCTCAGACTCTGTAAGAAGGTAGGATCACCTTCCTTAGCATCAAGTAACTAACACAGATGTCCTAATCACATTACTTACACACAAAGTCACTCACTACTTTTTTATTAGCACTCCCTGCCTCTTATTTCAATGGTGTTAGGCTCTGTTCATTTCGTCTGTCCCCCTGACTGTGGTGACATGAATAAAATTTGTCTTGCCACCTGTATTAGTCAGCTTTTTCATCATTGGAACAAAATACCCAACATACCAAACATAAAGGAAGAGAAATTTATATTCAGTCACAGTTTCACTGGGTTCAGTTCATGACTGGCCAGCTCCAAGGGAAAAATGTCATGTTGGAAGGGCCTGGTGCAGCAAAGCTGCAAACATCATAGCAGCCAGGAAGCATAAGAAAAAAGGGAGGGTCCAGGGACAAGAATATAACCTTCCAAGTCAGCCCTCAGTGACTTGCCTTTTCTGACCAGGCACCACCTCCAAATGTGAGACTTTGGGGGAAGAGACCACTTTAGATCTAAACCATAGCACCAACTTTAACAAATGTATGGCTATGTTTCTTCATGACACCATTGTTGTGGTTTGTGCCTAAATATCCCCCTAAAGTCTCATGCACTCATAGGTGGAGCTTTTCAGAAGTGGCTGGATCTAGAGTATGTGATGCTGGGAGTAAATGTGTGATGTGGGATCAAGGATGTGTGGTTACTAAATTAGTCCACTGATTGGTTTGACATCTTTCTGGGTGTGGATAATGGCCCTCACTGGGTGTGCGTGCTACCTGCCCTAAGGATGGGGAACCTGTACAGAATATAAGGGACAGAAAGAGGGCTACTAGAGCTGCTTGGAACTTGCTGCTTTTGCTGCCTTCTGCCTGCCATGAACTGTTTCTCCTCTGTGATGCCCCCTTCCATGCCACCCTGCCTTGGAGCCAGCCAACTATGAATTGGGTGTCAGATATTTTGTCTCAGCAGTGAGAAAAGTAACTAAGACAGAATTTGGTACCAGAGAAGTGGAGTCATTACTGTGACTGTACCTGACCATGTGGTTCAGGAGTCTTTGTAACTGGCTTGTGGGAAGAGTTTGGAAAGGTTTGGAGATGTTGGCTGAAGAAGCTGCCCTGGAATGCCTTAAGTTGTACTTAATGGGAGATTCTGGTCGGAGCTCAGAAGACCAGAATACTGATAGAAATGCTGCCAGTAAAGACCAGGCTTGGGAAGTTTCTTCTATGAAGGACTGCATTGGTGTTTGAACTCCACATCATGTGTGTTATGCCTTGGCAGAAAGTTTGTCTGCATTTTGCTCATGTCCAGCAACTATGCCGGGGACATTAAAGGTGGTGGACTCATTAATCTTGCAGAAGAAATTTTAAGACAGACTAGTGATAAGGCTGTCACATAGCTACTGTTGGGGTCTTTTAGCAAAATCTATGTTGAAAAAGAGCAAAGAGCCCAGCAGAATGATTTAAAACATTGTGAGTTTGGCCAGAAAGTAAGCTTCAGTAAAGGTGTGGACTGCAAAGATAGAGCACAGGAGAACTTGATTGCTGAGAAGGAAGAAGACAGTAGAAAAGATGGCCTGAGGATATCACAAGAACCAGGAGGACTGCAGTCTTTGCAGCCTCCAAGTTGCAAAGGTGAAAGTCTTTGCTTTGAGAAGAGATCCCCAGAACACCATGTTCCAGAATGGCAGTGGCCTAGAGAACTTGTTCCTTGGGATTGAGTTCAGAGTGCTCAGCACTTGACCCCCACACCCAAGAGAGAAAAAAGCCTGGCCATGGCTCCAGCTGGCAGCAGACCTTAGCATCATCCATGTGGTGCTGATTTTAGGTGCAGAATGCAAGAGTTGTGGGGTCAGGAAGACTTTCTTCCAAATTTTAGAAGGTCTGAGAGGCTAGGAAATGTGCTCGTAAACGGGAAGTTTGTGAAGCTGTGTGAACCCCAAGGTGTACTAGAGACCTCAGAAGGTTGGAGAACCCTGGAATGTGGATCATTCGAAGAAAGCTACAAGGAGTGAGCTAAGTCGGCCCAAGAGAGAATCCCCAAGTGTTGCAATCACACACAGTGCACACCCAAGCCCTTTGGAAGTTCACATCTTCCCACAGGTTGCCTTGGATGCTGGACATGGAACTACAGGACTTAACATTTACCCTGCTGGATTTTGGACTTTCTTTGGTCCCTTTCCTTTCTATCCCTCTATTTGTACCTTTTGGAATGGAAATATCTATCTTGTCCCATTGTATGTTGGAAGTGTTTAACTTTCTCTTTATTTGTACAGTGGCTTGCAGCTAAGAGTTTGCCTTAAATCTCAGAGGAGACTTTAGACTTGGACTTTTCAGCAATGCTGAAACTGTTGAGACTTTGGCAACTTCTAGAAATGGACTAAATACATTTTGCATAAAGGGATAGGATAATGGGGCTGGAGATTTGGCTCAGTGGCGCTACACTTGGCTTGGAAGCACAAGGCCCTGAGTTCAATCCCCTGTACCAAAAAAAAAAAAGAATACAGTGAGTCTTTGGGAGGCCAGGAGTGGAGTGTTCTGGCTTATGTCTAGATGTCCCCCCCAAAGCCTCATGCACTCATAAGTGGGGCTTTTCAGAGGTGGCTGGATCTAGAGTGTGTGATTCTGGGATTAAGTGTATGATGCCAAGATCAAGGATGTGTGATTACTAAATTAGCCTACTGATTGGTTTGGCATAGTTCTGGTAGTAGGTAAGGGAAGGACCTCCCTGGGTGTGAATGCTACCCATCCTAAGATAGTATAAAAAAGTAAAAAGTACTGTGACCAACAATCAGCACTGACTAGAATGGAAAAAGATTAAGTAGAGCTTAAGTCTTTTCATGGATTGAGGAGTTTGCAAGTGGCCGACCTGATCTAAACGAGAACAGCTTTGCTCTGGGGTTCATAAGTACCATGGGTTAAGGTCAGAATTTACTAGATCACTTAGAACACCTACAATTTTAAGAATAAAGCCCTAACTTTGTGCTGTTATCATTGTTCTCTATAGAAAGAGCAAGGCCATGAAACTGAGGTTCTAGTACCTGCTGGAAGTTAAGACTTTAGGAGAGTATGGAGAGTTGAGGAGAGACACAACATCTTGAAGCAGACTGAAAGAGTCATCAGAGCATCCACATTGACAAGAAAAATCATTCAGATGCCCTACAAAACAGCCTACTGTAATACTACAAAGGTAGGGGAAACTTCTGGTTTCTTTTTAACTAGCTAAGGGACCATCTTAAGGTGAAGTGATGCCATAGCAGCTGCTAAGGCAGCCTCCAACTTTCTATATTCATAACTTTATTTAAAATACTCAGAAAAGTCTTTATCAACATTTCTGTTCAACACAATCCAAAGACCTCTTGCCACATAACTCTTGAGGTTCTAGTGGGAAACTCAAAGAGAAATAAGTTAAAATATGAAAACAATTTTGTTCATAAAGACGAGTGGCAATTCTGTATATGAAAACTATAGTCCTCCACCAAATTAGTAACTAATATGATTAGATTATTCTGGAGATCTAGAAAGGAAAAGAAAGATGGGTGATCTTGAGGGGTTGTAAACTGTGTAAAATGTTGTGAAACATGTATACTCTCCTAGACATAATGATAAAAGTTGGCCCTATAGTCAGCAGCAGCCTGATGGGTTTTTAATGTGAAAATGTTACTGAGTTTCCTAGTATGCCCTGCCTTTGCTCAGGTTGCTATAGCATCAGGCATTGTGACCTAATAAACCCTGCTGTTACACCCTGAGTCAAAGCCAGCAGGAAACATCCCGGCCCATCAGTCTGCTCCAACAGCTGAAGGGGGTGGCAGCCAGCTGCAAGTGACCAAGAACTTGGCACTGCCCAGTTCCATCTCTAGGGGAACATCTCGCTTCTGGGTGGTACATTCGTGGCCAAAAGTCTAGAAGAACTTCATTATCAAGGTAATGAGTTTATAAATTTGTTACAGGTTTTTTTTTAAAAAGATATAGACTGAAGTTGTGTCCAAATCATATGAGGGAATCCTCTGCTTCCCTTCCTGTCTTTCTAAGCTAGTGTCCACTAGTTCTTGATAAAAAAGAAGAAAAACTTCCTCTTCTGAGGATATTAGAAGACTTTATCTGTAACTTTTCCCATATTTTATAGAAATTCTTGAAAGAAGAGCAACAAAAGATCTTGGAGAATGGCCAGAATGGTAAGGGTAGGAATATAGTGTTATTATGTGAAAGGATAGCCATTAGATGATAACTATTATAAAAATATTTGAAGCAGGGAGAAAATAAGGCAGGGAGAGGAAGGGAGAGAAGGGAAGAAGGGAAAGAGGGAAGAAGAGAGGGAGGAAAGATGGGAGGGAGGGGGAAAGAGAGGGAGGGAAGGAGGGTAACAATGAAAGGGAGGGAGAAAGGGAGGGAAGAGAGGAGGGAGGGAGAGAGGCAAAGAGGAGGGAAGATGAAAATTTGAGACTGTTTTGAAGTGATAGAGGAAAAAGTAGGTCTAAATTTTGAAGGAAATTGTTTCCTTAGTCTTTCCATAAAAGACTTTCCTGTGCTTGAACTTCAAATATTTCAGTGTATCCTTCCCCATGGTTCACTCCTACCCCACGCCATTCCTAGCCTAAAGACAAATGAGATGAGTTTCAGGGGCCCTTCCAGAGATTCTTGTCCAAACTGACCCCATTTCTAAAAAAGCATTTATAAGCATTTCAGATTTCTTTTCATTTCTCTTTATAGATGTCTGATATAGACTGGTTACACAGCTGCAGGGGAGTGTGCAAAGTAGATCTCTACAGCCCAATAAGACAGCAAGATCAAGAACGAAAAGTGGTAAGATACAAAATGACTCCTAACAAAGAAAGAGTAGAAAAACTGGCACATGGGTATAGATATACTAGGGCCCCAGGTAAACTCATGGAGGCTGATGCTGTGATTTCTCCAAGCAAGCAAACTCAGTAAGGTTTGGCAGTATACATCACAATTATACATCACAAAGGGATTGGGGAGGGGGAAGAGCCAAGTGAGGAGTGATGGGGGAGGGGGAGGAAGGAGCCTGAGGGGAGGGAGGAGTGTTGGTTGCCTAGGAACCTGCCTTTATTACATAAGACCTCTTAAGTCATAAAGTCCAATTATCAGTAAGTTACACTAGGTCCTCTCAGGAGGGCAAAATACTACAAATACTAACATTCTGTTTCCAAAACTTCAAGTGATTTGCATAGTACTTCACATTTTATCATGTTTGAGTAGCACCCATACTATTATCTACTTGATATGTTTTTTAATATTTTACAAATTGATTTACGTTTAAAATAACCATCACCCTAAGCAATATTATCCATAATATCACAGGTTTGATGTTCTAGGACAATGTACACAGAAATGTTTATCCACATACTGCCCAAAATGTTTTATATCATCAATAGTAAAAATACCACTACAATCTAAACATTGATGTAATAGAAAGTGCTGTAAACTAGAAACCAGAGAAATCAAATTCTAATGCAAGCTCCACCTTTAAGTTTCTGTCAGTTGAGCAAGGAACTTCTCAGTTTTCTCAATTAATGTGTATGGACATTGTCCTTTCAGCCTCTCTATGACTGGATAGTATTCTTATTTAGGAAATGTAATGTTAAGCTTCCATTTGCCTAGTAATATCACAATATTAACGTTTATTGAGTACCATGTACCACATTCTGTGAAGAGCTTTACATACCTCATTTAATCCTCACAAAAATCTTATAAGTGCTGTTATCGCCAAGAAAAAGAAATTAAGATTTTTATCTAGAGTTTATCTAAATTTACCCTCCTAATTTGATGCAGATATGTTTTGTTGATGTGTCCAACCTGAATGCAGAAGATAAAGATTCAAAGGTGGGTATTTCCTGCTCAGAGTGGGAGAGGGTGGGAAAACTGCTGTGAAATGTTATCAGTGAAGCATGAGGAAAGAGAAAGGTTGCAGCAGAGGGTGGAAAGGTGGAGAGGACTCAGGTGGAAGGCCATCATTCTCATGAGCCCAGGGTCCCTGGTTCCAAATTTATTCTCACTGTTGATATAAACTCTAATTTTGGAAGCCACTTAAGTTGCTGATGAGGCTAAAACAATTAAAGCATGGAAGATAGCAGGTTAGAAAAGTTTAAAAAAAAACTAGTCTGTCCAAAAGGGCGATGGCTAGCAGAATATGGTTCTTGAAACTAAGAACCTTATGAACATCTTCATAGAGGGAAGAAGTAACTTGTGGGAGGAACTTTGTGTCATTCTTCAAAGACTAGCTAGCATTACAAGGCTACAGAAAGAAAAAGGATAATAGAAGGACATGATGTTCATAATTTGAAGTTGTAGCCTCGGGGACCAGCTTGAAGAAGCCTCAAAAAGCAACTGTTCATAAGAATTTTATTCTTGAAATCCATAGGGTGCTACTGGTTCTAGTTCAGAATTCAACTTTAACCTGCAGACTCTAGAAGATAAAGAGATCGTCGTGATTAAGGACACCGAGAAGAAAGACCAGTCTAAGGTAGATTTAGCCACATTAAGACATAAATACACATCACTCCTAATTACTAGGGCCCAATATTGATTTGAGTCTGAGGACTCTTGTTCAGAGATGGTGAAGAAACTATTGCCTAAGTCCATCCATTTGAATAATATGACATTCTAGAGAACAAAGGACTTCATTTAGTGACATATGGTAAGTTCAACACCCAGGTACTTAACAATGACATTCATAAATCACAGATCAGAACACCATCTCCTCATTTCTATACAACTACTCCAAACAGAATCTTGCTGTTATTACTCTAACAAAATGTGGGCTTAGAGGTAGCACCCTTCCTGATGTTCTTTCCTGGTTTGCAATGGACTCGCATGTCGTGTATTTCCCAGCATCCAGCAAGGAAGCAAGAAGAAAAGAACAAGAGCTGAAAGAATCTGTAACAACCAAGAATCTGCGTGTCTAGTTCTTATTTTGGTGTCTAAGAGATAACTCAGGTTTTTAAATAGCTTTAAGTTAGAAGCAATTAGACTTGCATGCTGCTTGCACACAAAAATTCTTTTTTTTTTTTTTTTGTATCTTGAATTATATATCTGTTAGGCTCTAGGTTTAGGGAGGACAGTGTAACACACAAGAAGTCACCCCCACATTCCCAGAAGCCTGGAGAGTGGCTAGTATTTAGTTTAGTGTTCTGTGTCTCTAGGTTCACATGTTATAACCAAACAATCATTTCTGGTCCCAGACACCTTCAGAGTAAGGGATGTGAACCCTAAGGAAGAAAAACAAGTTATGTAACATTCTTCAAAGATTTTGAGGTTTAATTGGGTATAGCCAATTCCATTTTGGAGTCTTAAGAAAGAGATACATTTCCAGTGGTTCTGCCGCCTGCCTTGCAAGCACAAGGTCCCGAGTTCAATCCCTGTACCAAAAAAGGAAAGAAGAAAGAAAGAAAGAAAGAAAGAAAGAAAGAAAGAAAGAAAGAAAGAAAGAAAGAGAGAGAGATACATTTTATCTGGTGTTTATTTTCAAAAGAGCAGCCCATATTTCCTACCCCCAGTGCAGATCATCTTCATTGTAATTTAAGCCCATTTCCAAATAGATGGGCTTATGACTTCACGTTCCCAGAAATTCTGTGAAAAGAGAGGCAATGAAGCAATGTAAGAGGCAAAGGAGGCAACAGTACTTAGAGATGAATGGAAGATGCATCCATAGTGTATACACATATCCAGACATGAGTATACATAGTCACAAAGCAGAAATATACATCAAAGTATACACTTTAAAATAATTTATACATACATATGTCTGGCTACATGTGACATTTACAAACATGCAAACGTTGATATAACAAACTAGAATACACTGTCCTACTCATAAACAAAAATTTAAAATACAAAGATATAGTCTGATATAGCGAACATGCCCACATGTGACACCCATAAACACTCATATTCACATTCATGGACACAATTCATAAACATACACGCTAACACATTCTAGCATTGATCAAAACACAGTGACCATACAGACTCAGGTATTAGCATATATGCTTATAAATACACATGTTTGTGTAAAAACCTATATTATCATGCATAATCATGGTGATATACATACATACAAACTAACACAAAGTGATATGTATTCATTAACACCTCTGTTAGTATGCATTGATACACACATTGACATAAATGCAATGACATACTCACTCATGTTAGTCACATGCATATTCAAATGACAGAGTATATGCAACACTGACACATTGCCAGTCGTTGACATAGCATATATATAGCATAATCTGTTAATCAATCTATTGACATACAGTCATTATAAAATCACCTATTTATACATATTCACATTTTAACACACATTCATTAATATATCAGTTATATATTAATGAATATATAAGTTAATATCTAAGTTTATATACATTCATTATCAATGTTATATAATATTAATAAATGTATGTGTTAATATGTGAATTTATACTTTAACACACAAATACATTTATAGGTGCATGATGCATAGTAATGATTTATATCATAAACCTGTCAATTATTCAAAAATGACATATTCAGAGACACACTGATATACACAAGAATATTTTGGCATTCACACACATGTACAAATGTACACACTAACATGCACATGTTGGCCTCTACAGTAGACATTCACAGTTAGTGGTGATGTCAACACATGATTACACAGTTACATATATGCACACACACATTGACACACTTTTTCACTAGCAATACACAAGACTGACACATTCTCACATCTATTGAGATGTTCAAACACATTGATATATTGATCTCTACCTATACACACACAACATATACATTGACACATTGAATCAAATACATACTCATCTGGGATCAAAAAGCATATTAGGGGACGGGGATTTAGCTCAGTGGTTTCGCCACCTGCTGTGGAAGCGCAAGGACCGGGATTCAATCCCTGGTACAAAAAAAAAAAACGCATATCAGTAACACTGGTGTATAGTTAAGTATACAAATTTGTATACTCTGAGCTTATGTTGCTGCCACTTGTGACTGAATATATTAATGGATATAACTGGATTCTATGTTCCCATGCAAATTCAAAAATATTTAAACCTCTAATCTGTGCAATTTAGAAGATATATCTTCGGGAAAGGAATACATATAAGAAAAGGAAAAAATGGAAGCAAAGTCTTTGTAAATAGGGATGGGTGGAGGGGATGAAGGGAGGGCAGGGAAATGGGGGAAAAATAAGAATCAAGATATATTATGTAAAGGTACAAATTCCCACTAATGAATGTCAGCATATTGTATACCTAAAATGTATCAATAAAATTAATGAAAAAAAAGAGAGAAAGAAGTAGCCTACCCAAACACTCATAGATAGGTGTTTTTCTTTTTTTAGATAGAAGGATCTGTGTGTCTTTTCAAACAAGCTCCCTTTGATCCTCTTGTTGTCCTCCATTGGCTCCTCATTGATCTCCAGAAGCATGCCTTAGGTTTTCAACATGCACTCAGCCCTTCAGCCTCTAGCTGTAAACATAAAGCAGGAGACATAGACGACTATCACAAAACTGGGAACTGCTACAGTGTATATGCTGATAAATTGAGCATTGATCATACGGCCAAAGGACCTCAATGCCTCCATCTAGAAATGACGGCAACTAAAAACACCAACAATAACCAAAGTCCTTCAACTCCTGTAGTCAAGTCTTCTAACACTCAGAAGGAAGTTAAGTCCCCTGATGGCGAATGTAGTATGGATGACCTTTCCTACTATGTCAACCAGCTATCTTCGCTGGTAATCCAGATGGCTTGTAAAGAAATCAAGGAGAAATTGGAAAGTGGAAGCAAAGGTCTTCATCATTCAGTGTATCAACCCACTGGAGAAAAGGGGAAAAACAGCCCCCACAGTCCTCTCAGCAAGATTGCTTCTGAAATGGCCCATGAAGAGGTGGAATTGACTTCTTCAGAAATGTGTGGCACTGGTGAGGAAAATCAAGAAGGTGGCCAGAAAACCTTTCTGTATAGTGAATTATCCAACAAGAGCAAGTGTGGGGAAAAGCAGATGTTTCAGAGAGATAGTAAAGAATTTGCAGATTCCATTAGCAAGGGGCTCATGGTTTATGCAAATCAGGAGGCATCTGACATGATTGTCTCTGTTATGAAAACTCTGAAAGTGCATAGCTCTGGGAAGCCAATTCCAGCCTGCGTGGTCCTGAAGAGGGTATTGTTAAAGCACACCAAAGAAATCATGTCTGATCTGTTTGATTCCTGCATGAAGAACCTGCATAATATAACTAGAGTTTTGATGACTGACTCAGATTTTGTCTCCGCTGTCAAGAGTAATCTGTTCAACCGTGGAAAACAAAATGCTGCAGACCTCATGGAGGCCATGTTGAATCGTCTGGTCAGTGCCCTTCTCAGCGAGAAGGAGACAGAGTCTCAAAGTCTGTCATATGCAACTTTGAAAACTGGATCTCAGGATCCTAAATGCAAGAATCAAAGCCTTGAATTTTCATCCATGAAGGCTGAGATGAAAGGGAAAGATAAATCCAAAATGAAATCAGACCAGTGCAAGTCATTGACCAGTGCTGAGAAAGTCAGTGAACACATCCTCAAGGAGAGTCTGACCATGTGGAACCAGAAGCAAGGAAATCCATGCAAGAGGGCTACTAAACTATGTGCCAATAAAGATGAGAAAAAAGAAAATATCAGCCCTTCTATGGATTCACTGGCCAAAGACCTGATTGTATCTGCCCTTAGGCTAATCCAATACCATCTAATCCAGCAAGCCAAAGGCAAGGATACACTTGAAGAAGATTGCCCTGGTTCCTCCCTGGGCTATGTGGCTCCAAGTACCCAATATGAAAAGTGTGGAGGTTGCCAAAGTACCAGAACACTCTCAGTGAAGCATCTTGAATCTCGTGGAACTCCTGGTCCATCCACTTCTCTAAAGGAGAATCAACAGCTGGACTGCCAGAAGCTGGATATGTCAAACATTGTTCTGTCGCTGATCCAGAAACTGCTGAGTGAGAGCCCTTTCAGCTGTGATAAGCTATGCGAAGGTGAGAACAAGAGTTCTGAGCCCAGAACAAACAAAGCATCTTCCATGGCCAGAAGACCAGACAGAGAAGTACAATGTCAGGATAATGCAGAACTGGACTCTATCAGTGGGATGAAGCAAATGAACCATCAGTTTATAGATCAATTGGTAGAATCTGTTATGAAGCTGTGCATGATCATGGCTAACTGCAGCAACAACAGGGAAGCCTTTGCTGAACTGGAAGAACGAGAAGCAGGCTTGACAAACAATGCTGGTAGCTCCAGACATGGTCAGGAAACCACAGTGTTAAAGAACCAAGATTATCCTGGGCCCGAAGTTATTGTCAACAATCAGTGCTCTACAAGTAACTTGCAGAAGCAGCTCCAGGCTGTCCTGCAATGGATTGCAGCCTCTGAATTTAACGTGCCCATGCTCTACTTCATGGGAGATGATGATGGACAACTGGAAAAGGTAAGCAGTCCACCAAAGAACAAGAAGAAAGAATGGGTGGAGGTGGGGAAGTCAGCATTCATACATGTGCAAATTCTCTCATTCTGTTTATATCCACCTACATACACATCACAGCTGCATTTTCCACATTAGATGGATTTCAGAGAAATCTAACACTTAGCCAAATTATTTTCAGTCCAGAAGCCTGAACTCAGGCAATCCTTCCCACTCCCAACCTCATACTTTTTTAGGGGAGCAGAGAAATGGCAACTCCAAACCAGCAATCAGCACATACTAACTTAAGGGTCCAATACCTGGTGGGAAATATTTAATGAACACAATTTCAGAGTTTGTTTTTAAAGCATGAAACAAAAGTACCTTTGACATTTTGATCTATGTCATTAGAAAAGTTTCAAAGGAAACAGAAAAGCAAGTCAGTAGCCTCTGGTCCTATTTTCATGACATGCTTTACTCTAATTGTAGAACCAAGGTTCTGAAGATTGGGTAAGAGGCCTGGGGGTGTTAGTTCATTTTTCTCTAGCGAGGTTTTCCTCCAGAAAGCATCAAATGACTCAATCTGCTCTCTTTACAGCTTCCTGAAGTATCAGCCAAGGCAGCAGAGAAAGGCTACAGTGTAGGAGATCTGCTTCAAGAAGTCATGAGGTTTGCCAAGGAGCAACAACTGGATGAAGCCGTGGTGAACATGCCTAAGAAGCAACTGCTAGATTGGCTCCTCACTAACCTGTAAAACTAAAACTTCAACTCCTCTTTTTTTTGGCGGGGCGGGGGGGCTACCGGGGATTGGACTCTGGTCCTTAGATTTTCCAGGCAGGAAGCGGAACACTGAGCTAATTCCCCTGCCCTTCAACTCCTCTTCATCTTACCCCCCCCAGCAGCATTCCATCTCAGCTGGAGCCACCCCTACCATCATGCTGGTGAACTGCACAATACACAATTGTGCTTCCCAATACATCTGAGCAGTTGCAGTGTGCAAATACAAGGTGCCCTGGCTGGGAAAAATAAATAAATAAAAATTTAAAAAAGTTGTCATTTTCTTGGTCAAACTTGTCTGGGGCAAGGGAGAGGAATGGGTTCTATTTCTAGAGACTGTGATACAGTGTTGGATTCGTGTCCAGATCTCACATTATTTTCTATGCTAAACACTCAAAATAAAGGAATATTACTCAGGTGCAAGTTCCTAAATAATCTGATTTGTCCAAATAATCTCAATTCAGAGTCTATTTAGAGTTTTGCCACCTGTAGCTTCTCTGTTTCTTCTAGAATGACACACCTAATAATCTCCTTCCCAATTCCAAGGATGCAGCGTTCTTAGTTTTTGTTGAGTGTGCAGGTGGGCTAGCTTAGATGAAAAGCAAGTTGAAGAAAGTGCATTACTCATGGATATTGTCCCACCTTGTGATACACACACACACACATCCTATTGCTCATTGCCATGGCTAAATACTACCCAGAACTATAATAGGGTCTGATTCTTTCTCATGTATGAATAAAGCTTCCTTATAAGACATTTCCTTCAGTTGGTGATATTTTATCTTTCACCAGTCTGAAAGAAAAATTTTCCAAGAATATAAAGCTATTCTTTGTGAGTCCCTATATCCCAGTGTCCCAAAGTCCCTTTGGGATTAGTACTAAGTTCCTAGATTTGCTCTATGCTTCCCAGGCTTCAACTGCATTGGTAGAATTCATTGCAGATCAGATTAAGACAGTAGTTTGAACCCTACGGCTCTTGGTTAGCTAGTTCACTATGTGCCTTCTTGGCTTGCCTTGACACCTGTAAGGTGCTGAGGCTTAATAGAACAAGCACAGAAGAAGTGTCCCACTGGACTCAACAGACAAAGCTTTGCCTCATTCTAGTCACATCCTTTCAGGCAGTCGTCCAGACCCGGAGCCTGTTTCTTTAAGTGTAAAATGTAGCTAAAAATTATTCTCACACACTTTAGAGGTTGAACTGGGAGAATGACGTGATGGTGTTTTGTACTAGATGGATCTTGTAACAAATGCAAATATGTGAAGGAACTTGTCCTACCACAATAGTTCTGACATTTGAGGATTAGAACAAATCTCTTTTCCATAATTTCTCCAGGAAACTTAGGTGGATGAGTTAAGCTCAGGCTGAAGAAACTTGAATTTTGCCAGAGCTAACTGACAGATTCCAGCAAATAAAGGAATGCTTGAGGCTACAAGGATCCTGACAAGGAAGGGTCTGGAGGAACTTAATGGTTCTTGACTTTTATTGCTGGAGACTGAGACCCTGGCCTTTGACCTCTGTAAATGAGAAGTGACCCCAGGCATTCCAAGAGCAATATGGCTGCGCTTAATGCCATCATTTAGAAGTACACAAGGACTTAGGCTGAGAGAGAGCCGTGTATATAGTAAGAATGGGTCTACAGGAGAAGAAACAAAGGGAAACGGGCTTCTCTTCTGGCAAACAGTACAATTGGCATGATATCTCTTGACAGTTTCAGTCTCTCTGCCATCAAGCCTCCATTCTAAAAGTTGTGAGCACAACTTGTCTGGGAGATTATTATAGGGCCAGAACTAGACTGAGGTGAGGCAAGACAGTTACTTGCTTCAGGGGCAAAAACACTTAGCAATTAAGAAAAATACTATTTTAACACAACATTTTTTCAAAAATCTAATTTAATGTCTCAAACCCACAATGAACAAAATATCAAATGTTTTAACACAGAGGATCAGTAGCCTTGCCATGCCAAGCTGTAATATAGAACTTGAGGCCACAGGAAGCATTGGGAAGCCCCCAACCCTTTCCCTTTCACTCTCTTCCCCAGAGCTTTGCCAGAGGCCACAAGGCCCCTCTGTCATCACCACCCTATCTTGGCTTTGTCTGGCCGCTTTTCTGCATAGCCCCTTCAGCTGCCCAGGCCCCAAACTCCGCCCAGGCTCCCTTCGGTTGAGAGCAGAGGCACTGCAGGGCCTCCGCAGCCTGGTCCCATCCCTGCAGCTCTGAACAAGGCTGATTTTGTGGGACTTACACTTTATTGGAGATAAGTAAAGCACTTTTAGAGAATGTGTCGCCCTGAAAGCCTATATCTGTATAAATAATTAATAGTGACATTCTTGAAGAACTTAGGAAAGAAAGAAATAACAATTCAAACAAGTTTAGGAAAGAAGAAACAAAATTTGGAGCAAGGAAAAAATAGCAAATTTTCACTTAAGCCTTTAAAACTCAGGAACTGGGGTATATTGCAGTGTTTTCTCCCCTGCTTAACATGATAAGGGTACAACATTCCTAACAAAAGCTCTTATTAGATAAATTCCAATTAAAAACAAGAATCACAAAAGATTACCCCTATGCAAATTTTACCTTACAATAGTTCTAATAATGTAAGAAGAAGAATAAATATAAAAGTAAAAATAAAAGGGTGGTAGAAATAAAAATACCACTTTTGCAAATAGTATTTTTGTCCTCCATGAAAATCAAATTCCCAAATACCAGAGGCAATGAATGAATTTTGCAAAGGGACAAGATAGACAATACTTTTGAGCTGCAAGATTCTGCTATCAACTAACAAAACCCCAGCCACTTTATCGCCTGTGACTCAGGGAAATGTAAAAATTTCAGCAGTTTCCTAATACTAAAGTCTGCAGTGTCAGAACATAAGACAAATCTAAAAGAATCTATCCAATTCCGATATCCTAGAACAACCCAGTCAGAAAGAGGGCAATTTACAGTAGTGAAAATATATTCCCTTTATAGGGGGTATCAGACACTACTATGTGTTTTAATTGTTTCAAAAACCTTGTAAGATGGCTTCTTATTAGATGCTTTATTATGGATGAAAAATTAGAAGCTTAGATTTAAATTCCTTCCTCAAGATCATGCAGCCAGTAAGCAGGAGAGTTGGGATTAAAATCCAGGCTTGCCACATGTCAAATTCTATGCTGTTATCAGTCTACCATATTCTTTCCCTATTAATACATATTCATGCTTATTAAAGAACAAAACTATAAAATATGAATGAGAATAATAAAGAAACACAGAAGTAAAAAAAAAAAACAACTCTGACTGATAGAACTAAATTAAATAAAACCACATTCTCCAATTCAACCCATAGTTCTTATTTAATGCCAATTTAAATCTTTATGGGATAGTTTCAAAGTATATCCACCAAGATATTTACTAATCACAAAGTTAAAATAGTAATGTTTTTCTTAAATTCTTTTATTGGTACATTTTAGGTATACAATTCACTTACATTTATCATTGGGTGCTTGTAGCTGTACATGATGTATCTTGGTTCTTCCTTTTTCGCCATTACCTGTGCACCCTTCACCCCCTCCACCCTTCCCTATTTACATAGACTTCATTTCCATTTTTTTGTTTTCTCATAATTTTTCTTTTCCTTTCTTTCCTTTCCCCTTCCCCTCCCACCACCCCTACCCTTTTGGACCTTTTCTTCCTATTTCAAATTATCAATTATTCATTTTAATCATTTTAACCCTTATTTACACTTTGTTTCTCACACTAGAGAAACTATTTGGTATTTACACGTGTGTCCTACTTATTTCACTTAAGAGTATGGCCTCAATATGCATCCATTTAGCTATAAATGTCTCTAGTTTCTCATTCTTTATGGCTGAGTAGTACTCCATTTTATAAAAAAACCACATCTTCTTTATCCAGTTTCCAGTTGATGGGCATTTGGGCTGTTTCCAAGCTTTAGCTATTATGAACTGTGCCGCTATAAACATGGGTGCACAAATATCGCTGTAGTATGATTCTTTTAATTCTTTGGGGAAGATACGAAGCAGGGAAATAGCTAGGTCAAATGGGACTTCCAGTCCTAGTTCTTTGAGGTATCTCCATACTGATTTCCACAGTGCTTGCACTAGTCTACACTTAACAACAGTGGAAAAGGGTTCCTTTTTCCCATCATCCCCTCCAGCATTCGTTATTGGTTGATTTCTTGATAGCAGCCATTCTTTCTGGGGTGAGGTAGAATCTCAGTATTGTTTTCATCTGCATCTCTCCAATGACCAGTGATGTTGAACATTTTTTCATATGTTTCTTTGCTGCTTTTACTTCTTTGTCTGAGAAATATCTGTTCATTTCAGATGCCCATTATTGAACTGGGTCTTTGAATTTGGGGGGGTCCGATTTTTTTCAATTCTTTATATATTCTAGATAGTAGTCCTTTGTCTGAGGTACAGCTGCTAAAATTTTTTCCCCCATTGTAGGTATTCTCTTAGCTCTGTGGATGGTTTCTCTTGCAGTGCAGAAGCTTTTTAATCAGATGAGATACCAGTTGTTGATTTTTTCTGCTAGTTCCCGTGCTACTGAAGTTTTGTTCATAAAGTCTTTTCCTATGCCAACATCTTCAGGTGTTCTACCTAACTAATCTTCCAGCAAGTTTAATGTTTTTGTCTTAACATTTAGATCTTTAATCCATTTTGATCTTAGTTTAGTGCATGGTGATAGGTATGGGTTTAGTTTTAATTTTTGGTAGGTTGAAATCCAGTTTTTCCAACACTATCTATTAAATAGGCTATCTTTCCTCCAATGATAGTGGTTGGCTCCTTTGTCAAAGATTAATTGGCTGAGTATGTCTGGAGTTGTTTCTGCATCTTCTAATCTATTCCACTGATCATCAGGTCTGTTCTTTTGCCAGTACCATGCTGGTTTTTTTATTAAATAACTTTATTATCAAACACACACAAACAAAAAATTAAAACCACTCAAAGAAGAGCAATGCAAGGGGGAAAAACTACAATAATATTCAAATACAGTAGAACTCAACCAAAACAAAACTGAAAAGAACTGAAACATTTTTCCATATAACTTAAAAAAGCATCTCAAGCACCGACAAGGCACCAGAGGATGTGATTTCTTTCAGAAAGGTCCCCAAAACCAACATTGAACAAATAATGATCTGGGAACAAAACTCCAGTTAGTTAGCAGGCTCCACATAAGCCAAATTTCTCCCTAGTTTAAATTTCGATTCAGTCATATAACACGCGATGGAAACAC